GTTCACTTTGATCACTTGCTCCTTTTCTTCTTCGAGGATTTTTATCTTTAGAACCGATTGGTCAACCACGTTTCAAGCATGGCTTAGACTTATTTGTTTTAATTAATTGTCCTGCCGGGATATCAACTCGAATTGGAGCATTAACAGCTGGAATATGTGACTTAGTCACCCTTGGTAGGTCAGTGAATGCATCTGGCAATTGATTTGCAATATTTTGTAAATGAATAATCTTTTGAACCTCTTGTTCACATTGATTTGTTCGAGGATCTAAATGAGACAGTGATAATGCATTCCAATCTATCTTCTTTTTCAGCTGCTTATTTTCTCCCCCTAATGTTGGATATACTGATTCATCAAAATGGCAATCAGAAAATCTTGCCATAAATAAATCTCCAGTCATCGGCTCTAGATATTTTATAATAGAAGGAGATTCATATCCAACATATATCCCCAACCTTCTTTGAGGACCCATCTTTGTGCGTTGTGGTGGAGCAATTGGAACATATATCGCACAACCAAAGATCCTAAGATGGGAAATATTTGGCTCCTGACCAAAAGCCAATTGCAATGGGGAGACTTTATGATAACTTGTGGGCCTTATCCGCACAAGTGCTGCTGCGTGCAAAATAGCATGACCCCATACTGAAATAGGAAGTTTTGTTCTTATAAGCATTGGTCTAGCAATTAATTGGAGGCGTTTGATCAATGATTCTGCTAGACCATTTTGTGTATGAACATGAGCAACCGGATGCTCAATTGTTATCCCAGTTGAAATACAATAATCATTAAAGGCTTGGGATGTAAACTCACCAGCATTATCAAGACGAATTGTCTTAATTGCATAATCTGGAAATTGTGCTCTTAGCTTTATTATTTGAGCCAACAATCTCGCAAATGCCATATTGCGAGTTGATAGTAAGCACACATGTGACCATCTTGTAGATGCATCTACCAAAACCATATAATATTTGAATAGTCCACATGGAGGGTGAATGAGCCCACATATATTACCTTGTATACGTTCCAGAAATGCAGGGGATTCCATCCTAACTTTAATAGTTGATGGTCTAATAATTAATTTTCCTTGAGAACATGCAGCACAAGAGAATTCCTTAAATTGAAGAATCTTCTGATTCTTCATTGCATGTCCATGTGAATTCTCAATTATTTTACGCATCATATTAGAACCAGGATGGCCCAACCGGTCATGCCAAATAATAAAATTATCTTGATTAGTAAACTTCTCGTTTACTATGGCATGTGTTTCAATCCTGCTAATACTTGTGTAGTATAAGCCGGAGGAAAGAGCATGTAACATTTCAAGCACATATTTCTTACCGGACATTATTGTAGTAATATAAAGATATTCAATCTTTTCATCATTTGTAGTCTCAATATGATAGCCATTTTGGCGAATATCTTTGAAACTTAATAAGTTTCTTTGAGATTTACTACAATATAGTGCTTCATCAATAGCCAAATTTGTTCCTCCTGGTAGTAATAAATTGGCTCTTCCAGAACCTTCAATTAATTTTGAACTACCGGATATTGTATTAATATTCGCTTCTTTCATTACCAAATAAGAGAAATATCTCTTATCTTTTAAAATAGTGTGTGTTGTAGCACTATCGGGAAGACATATATCATCTTTATTAATCTTGAGTCCAACTGAAGACTGGGAATTTTCATATTCTTAATAAAATATGGCTCAACTTAGCGGGAGTTAAGAATAAAATTAGAGCTTCGTGCTGATAACGTGTTATAAAATAAAAGTAATGCAGTAAAATGTAAATAAGAAGAGATAGAAAGAAGGGAGAAGTGTTTTCTTCTTTCACTTTGGTGTATTTTTCCATTGCAATTACATGACCTTTTATAGGCATAAAAAGTAAAGATGATAGACATAAAGTAGAAAATTTAATCTTTAAGTTATTCATAACATGAGCATCCAATGTATCATCCAATGTAGTATCCAAAATAGTATCCAATGTACAAACTATTCATAACAGTTTGCTCTTTTGAAAATTTAACTTTTTTTTTATCTAAGTAAATGAATTACGTTCAATATGGTTGTCCAATGTGAGAAAGCATCCGAGAGTTATTTAGTGGTCAATAAAGTATGCGATATTTTAAAGACCGGGTTCAAATCCCAATTTAATTTATTTCTTCTAATATGCCTGAGCTTTGGTGGGCAAATCGGTTATGTGGTAACCTTGTTGATAGGAGGTATAGTAGTAGTTACTCAATGAAATATTTGAGATGCGAAAACTGGCCTGAATAGTAGCAACATGAATGAAAGAATGTCAATATGATTTTTCATAAGTGGACGTGTTCGTTTGAACACAATACATGACTGTTCATGAATGGGTTTCATCTTTGATTTGTAGAAAACATGACCAGCTAATTAATATTATATTATTAATTAATTAATTAATTAATTAATTAAATCTTCTTCAAGAAAGCGAAATGTTCCTCGCAACCCCTCTATAAAAGAAGCATAATTAGCATCTTAATCACACATTATAGTTAAACTACAATCAACATGCCTATATTGGGAGAAGTACAAAGCCAAGTCTTAATAAATCAAGTACTTAACAAACACTTCCGTACACATTTTTGGTGAAGATATTGACTGGGGGGGAGGGAGGGAGCGCTTATAGGACCTCGATTTTTGCTACCAGAACCAAAGTTTAAATGGACATAATACATCTAAGGTATTAGAAATTTAGTACTCCAGTTCTTTGTTGAATCATTCCAATTAAATGGATATTAGTGAAAAATTGGTGATATGAGTGGTATGACTGATTTTTGTAACTAATAATGCTGCCGAGAGGCGAGAAGTTCGTGTAAATCAAATAACTCTATGAATTGAAAATGTGAATGCATAATTAATTAAAGAATATGAAAGGGTAGAATATTAGTACTTAAGTTGGTGTAATATCCTCAAATTATACATCATTGGCTCTTAAAAATTGTGGATGTTTTTCTTAATATATTATAAAAATGAGCTTAAAACTTTAGCTGGAACAATAAAAAAATTATTAGTGAAAAAAACTCAAAGAAAAGCAAAACGGAAAAGGGTCAATTGTGTTCCTCTGCTTTGGTTTATTGTATAAGCTAGTCCCCGTTATACTTTCCGGCTAATAAAATCCCTACTGTTAGGTAAAGTTACACCCAATCTTGTGGACTAACCCGCCCCGACCCGACCCCTAACCCGTTGGATCCCCCAACTCTAAATTAAAAGGGAACACCCGATAAACCAATGCAACCCTAAAACCACCGCTGAAAAATCAATAGCATTCAAATCTAGAGTTCTTCTGTTTTCTTCTTAAACTTTTGTGTTAGGACTGTTTAGGTCGTCGAAAAGGCGTACAATATCGGAGAATAGTTGTTCATCGAAGAAGATGTACCATTGTGGAGAAGTTGCCAATCATTTCACTTTGAAAACTCTCCTAAACCCAGGAAGGAGATTCTACAAGCACCCTAAAACTGAGGTAATTTTTCCCCCTTCCATATGTGTTAATATCTATTGTTTCAGCACTTCTTTAAATTTGTTTGCGTTTCGTTTAGAATGAGGGCTGTGGTTTTTGGCAATAGCAAGATGAAGAATTCTCCGATGCTGCGTTAATTGCAATTAACAATGTACTATTAGAAGCTGCAAATCGAGAAATTAAAATGTTGAATATAAATATGGAAGCTCTTAAAGTTGATAGAGATGGCTTGAAGGAAAGGGTTAAAGTATTAGAGGCAATGAAGAATTCTGAAGTTAAAAAAGTTATGAAATTGAAAGACAAAGTGTTGAAGATGAAGATGTTCATCATAATTTTCAGTGCCCTAATGGTTGGATTTGCTTCCTCGTTTATGAAGTGAATTACTTTGTACAATTTTGCAACTTTAATATTTTCATTTAGTATCAATGGCAACTGTTAGTTAACTGAATTTTTTTGCTAAAGTAATGTTTGTAATGTATGAATTCCAGCCATTTATCATTTCAAATGACTATTAGTAGTTCAATCTTTCCAGTAGAATGTGTTACGTTAGTAACATATGTGATGTTGGTTCCAGTAGAATGTGTTATCTTTCCATTAGAATTTGTCATTTTTCCAGTAGAATTTATCAGAGCAGGCTGCAGTTAATCTATGTACATTACCAACTGATCAAAGAAAGAAGTCACGACTGATTAAAAAGGGCTAATTAAATGCATAAATTACCAACTGATTATACACTAATTAACTGCTTAATTTACCAACTGATTGCACACTAATTAACTGTCGTAATTACCAATTGATAACTGACTAATTAAGAGAAACAACAACATAAATTACCAAATGATAAAATACCTTTAAGTGAACAAACAGAAGCAGCTTACCAAGTCTGAAGTTTGACATTTACATCAAATTAGAATAGTTGATGCTATACTATAACTGCAAAAACCTACACAACTAAGTCATAACATGACATTCTCTAAATTCACACAACCAAAAAATTACCAAGTACTGTCATAATGCAGTAATTACATACCAATTTAAACCAACACAAACTAAAATAAAGTGACATGGGACATATTGTCAAATCCCCTTTCTTGGTATTAATTTTTGGATTTTCTGTGTACGTTGCTTCTCCAACTGATCTCCAGTCATTGCAGCCTTTCCCTTCCATGTCAAGTTTGCTGGAGAGTAAGGAAGATCAGTTGGTTCACAAACACCAGTGTGATCCCCCTTGAGGCTGATTTTCCTATTTCCAATTGGCTTTAGGATCTGCTGCCTTTGATGCAATCTGGTGTCTGATTCTGATATAACCTTTGGCTATATTGCTAGGTCAGGATCATGTTTAACAGTTGGATTGACAAAGTTTGGAAGTGAGCTCACTGTTGGAGTAGGCATAAAGACAAAGTCACTGAATTGATTATTCTGAGACTTGAGGAGCATCTACGTCTTCAGCTTCTATTTGTGATTGTATCACATCTTCATCCTCACTGTGTTCATCAATCAAAGTTCTCTTCTTATTTGCTTCTTTGATGTTTCACCTACTTCAGATGATTGTTTGCCCTTTAGAGTTTTTTTCCCTTTTAGTGGCTATTTATACAAAAAAAAAAAAAAATAGCAAGTTAGAGATGCATCAGTGTAAAGTATTATTTACCTTTTTGCATCCTCTTGCACTGTGGTTTGGCTCCCTACAATTTCCACAAGTCATAACTCTACCCTTCCTTGACAAACTCCACTCACCTAGCCTCTTACTTGCCTCATCTTTTTGTCTAACCCTTTTAACCTTTGGCCTCCGGCCAGCTTTACTAATTTTGGTGGTTCCATAGCTTGAGATGGTTCAATTTTCCAGAATTTCTCACCAGGAACAGGTTGTATCGTAGGCCAATAAGTTAGAAGATAGGCCTCCTTGCTATATCACCAATGAATCTCCCTCAAAGGGTCTTCCTTCAAGTGTATTGATGCCCTTATTGCATGAGGACATGAGATTCCAAAAAGGTCCCATGCCTTGCATGTGCACTTTTCACCTCCATCTTCACAATATGCTTATCTCCTTGCTCTGACACTTCATAACCATCATCACCATTAGCTTCCACCTCACATTTTTGAGCTATTTTCATAAAATTTCTATACAGTTGCAAACACTTAGAACTGTACTCATGTTTCTATAACCTCACACCCTCTTCATTCTTTCTCAACCTATTCATTACCTTGATCCTTATGTCCTCAAACATCTTAATTATGGGCTTGTACCTAGCTTCCAGAATCCAAGAATTAAAAGACTCAGTGAAATTGTTGTCCACTGATGGATTCTTGCAGACAGTATCAAAATATGCCCTACACCAACTTTGTGGAGGATACTTTAACAATGCTGTCACAGCAGCTTCATCCAGATGCCCCATACTCTTCAACTGGTCTTTGAATTCTTCATCATAGGTGGACGATGCACTCTACCAGAATAACTTCTTCAGTTCCAGCCCTCTATAATTAATGACCCAGTTTGCCTCAACATGTCTAGCACAATATCTCTGCTTTGCATCTGGAAGGACTGTTTTAATGGCCTCAAGTAATCCCTGCAAATAAGTACATAAATTAAAATAAAATATGTACATCAAAAGAATTAAAAGATAGAGAGAAAGATAATAATTGTACCTTCTGCATATCTGACATGAAGTTACTCCTTCACCCATATTCAGCTCCAATGAATTCTTCAAAAGCTCCATAAACCATGTCCGGCTTCTTTTTGTTTCTTTGTCAACTACAGCCCAAGCTATATGATAGAATTGGTTCATATTGTCTTGCCCAACAACAACCAATATTTGCCCTTTAGCCTTCCGTTTCAAGAAAGTACCATCCAATCCAATAAATGGTCTTAGTCCCTGCTTATATCCCAACTATAATGCATGGAAACAAATGTACATCTTAAGAAATTTTCTTTTGCCTTGAAGTAGTGCCTCTTTGGATAAATTTATGACAACATCAATTCCAGGATTACTATCTCTTAAAGCATTTGCATATGCTTCCAGTTTGTTGTATTCATCAGTGAAGCTACCTTCAAGCTTCTCTAGGATCATTCTTTTAGCCCTTTTACACTTTCCATGACTAGTATTAAGCTGAAATAAATCCTGCAAATCAGCCCTCATCTATTTCACCTTATACTTAGGATTATCCTTCAACTTCCTTTTGAAGTAGTGTGCTATGGTAGTATGGTCAACACTAGTGTTATCATAAGCTGGATTACATGTGTGTTCTGGATCTAATGTCTTCACCCTACAACTTTGACTACCCTTATCCTTGGATATTAGACAAACAAATGGGCATTCATCTTCACATTTATACCTCAACCTAATATTGTCACTTTTTAAAAGCTCTAACTCCTTCTAGTTAACCAATGAATACAATTTCATGAACTTTCTAGCTTCTAGTATATCCTTGAAAGACATACCCTTATGTATCTCCTTGTACTTATTAAGTTGTTCAGTAACTTCTTTTCTCTTTTTAGTTGGAAACATTTCTAACTCTTCAGAATCACATTCTACATGTTCATCCTCAGATTCATCATTAGAGTCACAACTACTACAATCAATACCAGCTAATGCTACAGTTGCATATGACTCAGTATGGTCAACAATGTTGGTGACAAGAACAAAAAACTCACATTCATCTACAACATACATATTTATGACTTTATACTCATCACAAACCAAACTTAAAAGCTGCTTAATTCCAACATCTCCTTCAATTTCATAATATTTTCCAGATGGGCCAGCAACTATTAATTGTTATACCCCAACATACCCTAATTTACATATATATATATATATATATATATATATATATATACACACACTAAATCTTTAAAAGACAAGACATCACAGTCATAACCTCTCCAATGGTGGACTAAATTCCTTGAATAGATAAGTTCATGCTCAGTGATCCAGTCACCACCATAGTTGAATACAATGTCCAAAAGAACCATCTTTAATCTACAAACATTCAGGACAGAATATATTAGACGGCAGAAACTAATACATTGAATAAATTAAAAAATATAAAAAAACAGAGACAGAAGGGTCCCCCCCCTAAATAAAAAAAACTAAGGAACAGAAACATAGAGTAACATGGTAGTGGTCCCTCTTTAATAAAAAATGTAGACCTTTACAATAAAATACTGAACATCTGTGGTCCAATGTACTATGTCACATTCTTTAGAGATATGGGGACCTAGTCCAATCGTACTCAAAACTAAAAAAAATTGAAAGCAAAAACACAACAACCTATAAAGTCAGCAACCCTAAATCGTATTCAACTTCTGTGGTAGGAAACATACCATAGAAATCACATGCATGAGAAGACAAGGCATAAAATCAACATTGGACCAAAAAAAAAAGACTAAAGTCAAAAAAGACTATAACCAAAAAAAAAAGGCTAAACCCTAACTGAAAACGCAATATTTAAGGACCACCAACAGAAATCACATGCATGAGAAGACAAGGCATAAAATATCAACTAAAACCAAATATAACAATAGAATAAAGTCACAATCCCATAAGTACACAAAACCCTAGACAACGACCAATTTTTTAAGCCATTCTAGTATGATATACTACCCGAAACAGAGATAAACACCGGTTAAGAACTAATTTTAGGATGTAAATCATACCCTTGAAAGATTATAGCCTTCAATCCCTCTGATTTTTACTAAAGCTAGAGAGAGAAGTAGGTCGAGCAACCTCTCTTTTTTGGTTTATGTTTTGTCTTTCTAAAATGAATTTGAGAGAGGGTATTAGTTTATCGGGTGTTCCCTTTCAATTTAGAGTGGGGGGATCCGACGGGTTATGGATCAGGGCGGGTTAGTCCACAAGAATGGGTGTGTTTTTAAGTCCTAATTTGCCACGTGTCCCATTCTGTCAAAAATGGGACATATGTGTAACTTTGCCTAACGGTAGAGATTTTATTAGCTAGAAAGTATAACGGGGGACTCAATAAACCAAAGCAGAGGAACACAATTGACCCTTTTCCGAAAGCAAAACATGTTCAACCATTGAAACATAAGAAATACTAGAAGAACGAAAAGAACATATTTTTTTAGTCTGTTCCAAAATAAATGACATATTTCTAAATTTGGAAATAATTTAACTTTAAACTCTTTATTTTACCTTTTATACCCTTAATGATAAACTTTTATAACCACACAAATGTTATGGCCCCACAAAATTTTTACCCCTTAAGCTTTTAAGACAACAAGTTTCAAAAGTTTTTTTTCCTTAAACTCCGTGCCGAATTAAACTAATTCATCTAAATTGAATGGGAGGGAGTAATAAATATGGACAGACACTGTTAATAGGACCCACACGGTTTTTTTAATTTTTCAAATTGGCATGCGTGACCAAGGTTTTCCGCAATAGCTGTGTCAATGGCTCTGTTCCATTAATTAACTGATGGAATTTTGGAATCTTGGAAACAGATCTCTACTGCGCTAAGAGTAACAGTGGAAAACAAAGAGATAAGAGAGTTATGGCGTATGCTGCTGTGACCTTAACTCTAGGACTGCTAATGCAATCCAATCCCTGTTTAAATCTTCCCCAAGAAAAGATTGAATCTCTTCACAGAAAAGTAAAAGAACAGATTCAATCCTTTCGCCAAAAAGTCGGTTCACTGCAAGCGCTTCTGTACAGCTTGATAACAAATTCGGTGGTCCAAAATTTTGATTTACCACACCATTCTGTACAGCTTGATAACAACATGGTTGGGCATGAAAAATGAATTAGAGGATATGAAGAGTACTCTCATGGAAACATCATCCGACGAAACACAAGTTGTGGCAATTGTAGGTATGGGGGGCATCGGCAAGACAACTTTTGCTAGAAGAATTTATGATGATCTGGAAATTAAATCACATTTTGACATTCTAGCATGGGTTACTATGTCAAAGGAATACGGTGTTAGAAAAATGCTGCTGCAGCTTCTTCATTGTATTCCATCAACCGAAGCCGTAAGCCGTGAAGCAACGGATGATGGCGAGCTAGCAGACAAATTGAAACAAAAGCTGTGGAAGCGCAGGTACCTAGTTGTCATCGACGATATATGGAGCACCAAGGCTTGGGATGATATAAGTCAATGGTTTCCAGATTCCAAAGGAAGTCATGCCCTACTTACAACAAGGTGTGGTAATGTGGCCAGTTATGCTGCATCAGGTAAGCCTCCTCATCACATGTCTCCTCTGAGTGCAAAAGAAAGTTGGGAACTATTGCAATCGAAAGTAGAGCTCTCCCCAGAATTATTGGAAGTTGGAAAGAAAATTGCAGATAATTGTCACGGAGTGCCTTTGGCTGTTACTGTAGTTGCTGGGCTTCTATCTAAATGCAACAATGCACTAGACAGATGGGAGCAAGTTGCAGAAGATGTAAAATCAGCAATATTTAAAGATCCTGGTCAACAATGTGAAAAGGTTCTTGCTTTAAGTTACTATTATCTACCTCAACACCTAAAGGGTTGCTTTCTGTATTTTGGGATTTTTTCCCAAGATGATGAGATTAACGTGACAACATTAATCAACCTATGGGTTGCAGAGGGGATTTTAAAGGAAGTTGATTATAAAAGTTTGGAAGACGTAGCTGAGGAATATTTACAAGAACTTATAGACAGAAATTGGGTTCTAGTAGGCCAGCAGAATTTTTGTGGAGATGTGGAAACATGTAGGATACATGATCTCTTGCATGAGTTATGCTTGAGACAAGCTCGAAGTGAGAACTTCCTACCTGTTATAGACGATAAACCACCATATCGAGCCTCACGTGTCCCCCAATCATTCATGCAGGTCTGCGTGATGATTGTTCGGTCAATTGGTGGTTTTCATCGCTTAAACTCTCATAGCTATGATCAAAAGGTAATTCGCACTATTGTCTATCAAGGTGAACATGCATATTATGCGCCTCGTAACAAATATCTTTTAGTAGTTGATAACGAAAGAGGGATGAGGGAAATATCAGAATTCAAGAATTCCAAAATGATCAGAGTATTGGCCTTGAGAAAATTATGCTTTCATAATGACATTCCAGCTTCATTATTTGATTTGGTGAATCTAAGGTATCTATCCTTGTCCATTGACAGTCCTAAATTTCTCCCTCTTCTCAAACTTCAAAGACTGCAAGTTTTGACTGTTGAAATAGAAAACTTTGCGAGCAATATGATACCTTTACAAATTTGGAGGATGCCACAGTTAAGGAGTGTTCACTTTATAAAAACAAGATGGCGATGTCCTCCGAATATGGCCAACGCTGAAGGGAAACAAGTAATTTTGGAACACCTACATACTCTAAGTGGTGTTGGTCCAGCATGGTGTAAAAATGAAATCTTTGCACTAATGCCTAACTTGAACAAGTTGGAGATTGTGTTAGACAGGAGTGTTGATGATCAACACCGCGATTTGTGGATAGCTATTTCATATTTACCTCTAGTTGAGACACTTAGAATTAAAGCTGGGTGGTGGGATTTTGATGAACGTTGTGTCATACTAATTATATGCCAACTTTTATATCAATAGGAATAAGTTTCACAAAGAAAGACAACAACAACAACAACAACTACCTAGTGTAATTTCACAAGCGGGGTCTGGGGAGGGTAATATGTACGCAAACCTTACCTCTACCCCGAGGGGCAGAGAGACTGTTTCTAGGAGACCCTCGGCTCAAAGAGGCAACAAGAGACACTATATTAATACTATCAATAGACTGTTGGGTATTTTGGGCTTAGGAGCGTGTCCGGATTGTGTTTTGGAGGTTTGTAGCTCATTTAGGCTTGAAATAGCAACAACAACAACAACGACCCAGTATAATCCCACACGTGGGGTTTGGGGAGGGTAATACGTACGCAGACCTTACCCCTACCCCGAAGGATAGAGAGGCTATTTCCATGAGACCCTCGACTCAAAAAAGCAATAGGAGATGATATATTAGTACCATAAAAATGCATAATAAAAATAACAACAATATATAAGAGATATGAAATACAGAATACGAAATACGAAATAGATGGCTGGTATAGTACAACTAGAAGGTAAAGCCTTGCATCAATAGACGACCAATGACATTCCTAGTCTAACTCCTAACTGGATACTCTCACTCTATTGTGCTGTAGAAATATTCACCATAAAAAACAAAGTAACAGCAATATAAGAGATATAAGAAATACGAGAAAGATGTAAGTTATTAATACACAGAAGATAAAGTCCATCATCAGTAGTAGATCAATAGCATCCTAAGACTAATTCCTAACTGGCTAGTCTCACTCTAGTGCGTTGTAAAAAAGACATTACAATTTCCCTAACCTACAACCTTAATGCTCGATCTCCACAATTCCCTATTTAGGGCCATGTCCTCAGTAACCCTATNCCGCCCTTTGCTGACGCTCGTCCAGGTTGCTCTCCTTTGCTAGTGCTCGTGCGCCCAACTTGTCACCAACCACTTCGAGAATTCCCCTGAAAACATNCAACTATTGTGAACTAAAGTAACATCAATTTAGCTAACACCAAAAGGAAAACAGTAGAACGGGAGGTACCAATTCCCGAGAACTAAACCTGTGTTGATTTGCAGCCCTCGATATACTTGCAAGCTCACGCAATGCTTCCCACCGCCCTTTGCTGATGCTCGTCCAGGTTGCTCTCCTTTGCTAGTGCTCGTGTGCCCAACTTGTCTCCAACCACTTTGAGAATTTCCCTGAAAACACAGAAAATACCACGACCCAAAGACCAACAAGGGCTATCACCGCTACCACTGGTGTAGCACCGAAAGTAACTAGCAGCCGAAATTAACTGAAGAAAAACAACAAGCAAGCTTCTGAAATAGGCGAGGAGATCCGGCAACATAACAGCAACAAACCGGTGACCAAACGAGAGCAACTCGATAGCAATGGACAACAATTCAATCCGCCAAATTCCAGAAATTCTTAAGCTAAAATCAGAAATCAAATTAGCAAAGAAACAAAATCGAAAATCTTCCCTTATTTCTGGTTTTTCTTGTTTATTCTTTCAGCCCTTTCTAAAATTTCAAATCTAGATTTTTATTCCAGATCTGTCAGGTTCTAGTGAGGGGGTGAGAGGAAGAAGTCAGCGGCAGCTTCCTCAAAGGGGAGGAATCGGGGAAGAAGATAACAATTTTGGGAGAAAGCAGCGGCCCCAGAAAGAAAGAAAGAAAACAAAAATAAAAGACAAGATCTGAAAGTGAAAAATCAGAAACATATCTGTGCTTTAAACTTACAATGATACGGCATTAGCGAAAACAATGAGAAATCAGAAAATGCGCGTTAAACTTACAGTGAATTTCGCCGATCCCGATCCGAAAGCAATAGCTCGTGCTTGTGAGGAAGAAAGTTGAAAGAATAGAATGCCGGTGAAAGGTAAATAAGCTTAATCAAAATTTCCAAAGTTCTTAACTCTGTAAATAAGCTTAATCACAAAGAAAGAGATGGAAATAAATTTCAATACGCGTGAAGATTGTACTTTAACTCTGTAATTTGATGGTCAATATGTTAATATATGTATTTCTTTTATTTTAATAGCTTATTGCCGCCAATGTCATCATTTACTGAAGAGAAATTCCAGCTGACGGAGGAAGGCAGTTGCACCGATATTTCATCACACTTCATTTAGAGCTCTCAATTTTTCTTGAGCAAGGTGTTAAGAAATTAACATACTTATGCATTTGATTGTGTTTTTATTTCTTGCTTTTCGTTTTCAAATGCGGAAATAATGTTTGAACAAAAATATCACTACTTAACACACTACGATGGAGTTTGAAAAGTCCGTACAGTGAAATATGAACTTCTGATCAATATTAGAACAAAATATGTGTGTCATGAACTCCGGATTTAATTATTTCTATATTTCAGTTTTTTCAGCAGCGAACAGCACAGAAATTATAGTCCATGTAATTTAGAAAATCGAAAATCAATTGGTTTGCTTCACCTGTTTTCTTTCGCTCGCCGGCGCGACGGAACTGAAAAACCAACGTTGCAACGTGACGGTAAACTCCGGTAGCGTTCAACACTCTCTAGAAAGAACTTCCTCGATGGCTCGACGGAACCCTGACTTCAATGCTTCTGCATTCCAAATTGTGAATAAATGATTGGTATGGTTGAACTTTGAGGAGCTTGCTGTGGAGATAGGTTTTCGGTTCGTGAACCGAATGTCTCACCTGGCGACTCCAGACTTGAGTCCCGGAACCACAGTCATTCAACGGGATTCGAAATGCCAAGGCTCGAAGACCTCTGGGACATGGAACACGAGTAAAGAGATGATGATGGTTATGGTTTCTCGTTCAAATTCTGCGCAATGGTGGGATTAGTTACTGAAAGTACAAGGGGTTGAATTGTTGATTTTTCTTCTCTGTGTTATAAGCTGTTGACTAATTTACCAGTTAGTCGATTAGATATAAGAGCAGAATAGTAATAACTCAGAAATAAAGTACAACAATTAAAGACACCAGGATTTTCAGTATTTGAAGTTTCTCGATTACAAGATGGTTGATGTAGCGTTACACCAACAACTTTGTCACTATATGTCACTTCTCTCTTTTTCTTCTCTCACTAATTACACAGCAGATCTAAAGAGAACTACAATGCTAGTTTGGACAAGAACAAAAAGAGTGATAGTGGTTCGTTCAAAGGATGTCTGCTTCAAGCCTGGAACAGATGTATATATACTTCGTGAGACCTTCTTGACTTTTGATTGACATGAATCTTGAGAGATTACAAACCCAAGGGAGTTGATCTTTGAAATGAATTATTAATTGGTTCTTTCCAAGAATAAGGTCAAGTTTTCCTTAATCTTACTTGACTTGTGGCCTTGACAACTTTTCTTCCGCTGGGCAGATCTTTCCGTTACTTGAGTGATCAACGATGGATCCCTTGATTTCGGCTTTAACGATCTCCAGTGGAGAGTTTTGCAATCTTGTCTTCCTTTGATTTGGGACCTTCCTATAATAGCTTCCGTCAATCATCTATATTGATTGATTCTTCTTTTGAATCTCCGCTTCTTCTTCCTTTTTCATCTCTAATCATTGATGCTTGTCCTTTCCTTTGCTTCTAGTGCTCTCGTTGATAGACTGTTTCCTTAATCCATACTTGAATGATAGGGCATCTTAATTCCTTTGTTTTATCCCTTGGGATCCTGCACCAATAGTGATATACTCCCTCCGTTTCAATTTATGTGAACCCATTTGACTGGGCACGGAGTTTAAGAGAAGATTGAATACTTTTGATCTTGTGGTATAAAATGAGGTATATATATATATTGTGTGGCTATAAATCATTGTGTAAAGGTAAATTATTTCCAAATAAGGAAAGGGGTCATTCTTTTTTATACAGACTAAAAAGGAAATAGATTCACATAAATTGAAACAGAGGGAGTATTATTTTTCATCATTGAAACTTATACTTTACAATTATATAGTGCGAATTTTTTTTATTTTGTGTCTCACACGATTGACAATATTGGTGTTTTTGTCTCACAATTTTGTCAACCCAAAAGTGTAAGATATGAGTCCATAAATTTGTGAGCTAAAAAGAAGGGATTTTTTTCTTCCTATTATCCTATATAATATTTGAAACTTATTTAGCAAACTAGTACTAACTTTGTATATTACCCTCCTTAAATAAGGATTGCTTACAATTTATATACAATCCACTATTAGTGCCTTAAATTAGGGGATTCAATTACACCATTTTCCTTTTTTTCTCCTCTCCTATTTCCTTATTCTCTGTCATCTATATCCATATACAATTCATTATTAGTGCCTTAAATTAGGGTTTCATTATTCTTGTCATCTCTCTATGTACAAACATTGTGTCTGGTGCCTTAGATCCACTTGTTTTTGTTCAGGTCTACACATTAATACGGTAGAATCTTTTACTGCTACAACCACAAAATTTCTTTCCTCTAAATTAAAAACCACACATCCTCAACCACAAAATTTCTTCTTCTAATGTCACAAATTCTACCTTCTCCTAAGAAGCATATATTTTTTCTAAGACAAATATATCCTTGTACCAAAATTTATATTTTTCAAATTAATTTAAGCTCCTTTTCCTTCTTTTATTTTTACCATGTTTTTCTTCTATTTCTATTTCCAATGATTTTTTTTTAAAATGCAAGACAAGTCTTTTTGTCATTACGGAGGCATTGAATAATAAAGTTAGAGATGAAATTACTGAGAAATATTATAATGTATGAATAACTTTATTTATTATTTCATGGTAGATTTTTGATGAATAATTATTTATGGAGTAGATTTTAAATTTATACTGAATAATGTATTTTGACTATCTAAATCATGTGAAAAACAAGCAATTATACCAGATACTCAATATTATTGCTTTGGTGTAACTATATGTAATATTGATTAAAATTTTAATGTATATATTTTTACTTTTTGTTTATATTAATTAAAATAGAAATAAAAAATTAATTAAATTCTCTTATAATAACTATTTAAATTAAATTTTTCTCTTTTAAATAATTATAAATTGAACCTTGCTAGTATCCTTATTTGTAATTTGATACTCAAAAATACCTTTTAGAAAAATTGGTCAAAAACAAACTAATGAATTGGCCAAACACAAACTGTTATTCTCTAAAAGTATTTTTTCGAAAAAAATTTATGACAAAGGGCATATTTTCAAAACGAGCAGTTTTTGGCACATGACCAAATGGGCTCGCATGAAATTCATGTCCAAAAATCATTTCAACTTCCAAATAATCTTATCTAAATTTCAACTTTAAATATTCACTTTTCAACTTCAACCAAATATCATCCAAACGACTATTAATAATTTAAAGTACACATTCTTTTTATTCCTTCTCACTTTTTTCTATTAGATCACGTCACATAATGATATAAATATATACGACCAAAGGTTGTGGTGGGATGACAAGTACTCCTCTATCCTTAGCCATAAGTCTTAAGTTCAAGCCCGTGAAATGAAATCGCCTTTGGTAAGGAATGTTTAAACTCCAACAGTGAAACTTTCCAATGCGAATCAGGATAGTCCCAAAACAACACCAAGTGGCTCTAGATCATCAATTGCATTGAGCCGTCCCTGCTTAAAACTTTAGCTGGAACAATCAAATTATATTTTGTGAAAAAGAAAAAACCTAAAAAAAAAAAAAAGCAAACATGTTCAACTAGAAGAATGAAAAGAAAAAGGTAATATAGTTGGTCAGACATTGTTAAAAGGCTTACGTGGTTTTCCACATTAACCCCATGATGGGATATTGGAATCTGGGAAATCATGCAATTGGACATCATAAAAGACGACAACCATTTTATTTCTTTAAGTTAAATTAAACTAAAGAGGGCTGGCCTTGCTCCTCTATTCAGACTTGCATAGGAATATGAGACGCTCCATTTGAAAGTCAAGCCTTTTTTCCATTTGTCATCATTTTTAACAGATCTCTGTTGCTCTCTAAGCTAAGAATAACAGTGAAAAAACAAAGAGAGAGAGAGAGAGCGCTATGGCTTATGCTGCTGTGACCTCTCTTATGTCAACTCTTGGATTGCTACTGCAATCCAATTCCCGTTTAAATCTTCCCAACGAAGAGCAAACTGAATCTCTTCACAAAAGAGTAAAAGAACAGATTCAATCCTTTCGCCAAAAAGTCGGTTCACTGCAAGCGCTTCTTGAAACATTGGAGAAGAATATCAATGATCCTAAGACAATTGAACATTGTGAAGTCAAGATCAAAGATGCAGCACATGATGCAGAATATCGAATTGAATCAGTATTGGAAAAATTTTACAAGGCTCAAAATGAAAAAATTAGTAGAGAAGCTTATGAGGAGTTTTGCAAGAGGTTGCAAAAAGCATCTGAGTCCATAGATTCCAATTCCAGAAAGTTAACTGAAAGTATGAAGAGTGGTTTGCAGGCAACTAGTTCACTTATCCAAAGTTTTGATTTACCAGAACATTCTCCACAACTTGGCAATAGCATGGTTGGACATGAAAATGAACTGGAGGATGTGAAGTGTAAACTCATGAAAATCTCATCCGATGAAAGAGAAACTATGGCAATCACAGGTATGGGGGGCATAGGCAAGACAACCTTTGCTAGAAAAATTTATGATGATCCAGAAATTAAATCACATTTTGACATTCTAGCATGGGTTACTGTGTCAAAGGAATACTGTGTTAGAAAGATGTTGCTGCAGCTTCTTCATTGTATTCCATCAACAGAAGAAGTACGCCGTGAAGCAAGGGATGATGGTGAGCTAGCAGGCAAATTGAAACAGAGGCTGTGGAAACGCAGGTACCTAGTTGTCATCGACGATATATGGAGCAGCAAAGCTTGGGATGATATAAGTCTATGGTTTCCAGATTGCAAAGGAAGTCATATCCTACTTACCACAAGGTGCGGGAATGTGGCCAGTTATGCTGCTCCAGGTAAGACTCCTCATCACATGTCTTCTCTAAGTCCGGAGAAAAGTTGGGAACTATTGCAATCGAAGCTTCTTGAGAAAGTAGAGCTCTCTCCAGAATTAGTAAAAATTGGAAAGAAAATTGCAGAAAATTGTCATGGAATGCCTTTGACTATTACTGTAGTTGCTGGAATTCTATCTAAATGCAACAATGCATTAGAAGGATGGAAGCGAGTAGCACATGATGTAAAATCAGCAATATTTAAAGATCTTGGTAGACAATGCGAAAAGGTCCTTGGGTTAAGTTACTACTATCTTCCTCAACACCTAAAGGCTTGCTTTCTATATTTTGGAATTTTTCCCGAAGATGAAGAAGTTGATGTGAGAAGATTAGTGGAGCTATGGGTTGCACGGGGATTTTTAAAGGAAGCTGATAATAAAAGTTTGGAGGACATAGCTGGAGAATGTTTGCAAGAACTTATAGATAGAAATCTGGTTCTTGTAAGCGGGCAGAGTTTTTGGGGAGAAGTGGAAACATGTAAGATCCATGACCTCTTACATGAGTTATGCTTAAGACAAGCTCGAAGTGAGAACTTCCTACCTGTTACAAAAAGTAAACCACTGAATCGAGTCACGTGTGTCTCCCGATCATCTGTACAGGATTGTCTAATGATTGTTCGCTCAATTAGCGATTTTTATTGGTTAAACTCTCTTCGCCGTGATCAAAAGAAAATACGCACTATTGTCTATAAAGGTGAACGCAAACGTGCGGAGAGAGAAAGATTCGAATTCAAGATCTTCAAAATGATCAGAGTATTGGACTTGAGAAAGTTATACTTTGATAATGGTATTCCAACTTCAGTATTTGATTTAGTGCACCTAAGGTATCTATCCTTGTACATTGAAAAACATGAATATATCCCTCTTTCCAAACTTCAAAATTTGCAAATTTTGATTGTTGAAATAGGAAAGAATTGGGCAGATAAGGTGCCTATAGAAATTTGGAGGATGCCACAGTTAAGGACTGTACGCTTTGTCAAGACAGGATGGCAATGTCCTCCCAATATGCCAATAGGTGAAAGGGAGCATACGGTTTTACAACACCTACATACTTTAACTGGTGTTGGTGCTGCATGGTGTAAAAAAGAAATCTTTGCATTAATGCCTAACTTGAAGAACCTGGAAATTGTGTTAGGCGGAGTTACTCGCGATTTGTGGAAACGTATTTCCTGTTTGCCTCTAATTGAGGTACTTAGAATTATAGTTGGAAAAATTGATTATAGTGCCTTTTCCCTGTACAGATCAAAAGCACATGCCGATTTTTTGAAATATCGAAGCACTTTTCCACCAACCCTTAGAAGGTTGACATTAGGTGGGACATGTCTTCCTTGGGAGGCTATGGACATAGTTGGCATGTTGCCTAACCTCGAGATACTGGAACTGGAAGACGATGCCTGCGGAGTTAAACCTAAGACCGCGTGGAAACCCTCCGAAGAAGGGTTTCCTCAATTAAAGTTCTTGTCACTATGTCATATGCTTTGTTTCACAGAGTGGAAGGCTACAGAAGATCATTTTCCTGTCTTGGAGAGACTATTTATATCTCATTGTCCGCGGCTAGAAGAGATCCCACAAGAATTTGCAAATATTTTTACACTTCAATTGATCGAGTTACATGACTGCTGTATTCACCTGGCCATATCAGCACAGCAGATTGAACAAGAGCAAGAAGCCACTTATGGAAGCCAAGTGACAAATGTCCATACATACAATTGTGGACAAGGTAAGATCATCCATGTTTGATCGTGCTTTGACAAATAGAACATATCACCAAGCTTTTTAGTGAGTGTTAAATATTTCTTTCTTCTGGAGTTTTGATTTGATCAACTTCATCACTAATGTGTTAAAATAGCTATCGACTGAATTGAAGGAAGAGGAAAAAAGGGAGAGGAGAGGGGGCAAATTTTAAAATGAATAAAACCTCTGAACATATTTTGATGAAAAAACTACACTAAAGCCTTCTAATCCTTTCATTTCTCTTGTGGCCGTTTCAACGACAATAACAACAACAAACCCAGTGTGATCCCACAAGTAGGGTCTGGGGAGGATAGTGTCTATACAGCCTTACCCTTACCTTGTGAGGGTAGAGATATCTTGTGGCTGTTTCATACGGTAAAATTTGATGCACATTGCTTAGTCTCCTGCACTCCTCTCTTCTCTTTAACTTGACAATTCGAGTACAGTAGAAGTTTTTTAATATGGTTGAGGAAATATTAGTACAATGTTTTTTTAAATTTGACATTTCGAAACACTTGAGTTATTTGAATTGCACTGAATTCTTAGAGTAACTTTGTTACATTTGGCATACCACTTATACACCAACTTTTATAACAATAATATCATTGGGAATGATTTAACACAGAAAGAGCTAGAAATATATTGGTTTTGAACTTATTTATTACTAGTATTTTTTATATGCGTGAAGATTATAATTTAACTGTAATTTGATGGTTAAGATGCTAATATATTGGTTTTGAACTTATTTATTACTAGTATTTTTTATATGCGTGAAGATTATAATTTAACTGTAATTTGATGGTTAAGATGCTAATATATTGGTTTTGAACTTATTTATTACTAGTATTTTTTATATGCGTGAAGATTATAATTTAACTGTAATTTGATGGTTAAGATGCTAATATATTGGTTTTGAACTTATTTATTACTAGTATTTTTTATATGCGTGAAGATTATAATTTAACTGTAATTTGATGGTTAAGATGCTAATATTTGTACTTCTTTTCTTTTTAATAGCTTACTGCTTCCAATGTCAACATGTACTGAAGAGAAATTCCTGCTGACTGAGGGAGGTAGTTGCAACCATACTTCATCAAACTTCGTTTAGAGCTTTCTATTTTCCTTGAGCATGGTGTTAAGAAATTAAGATCCTTATGCATTTGGTTGTGTTTTTATTTCTTGCTTTTCATTTTCAGTCGTCATTTTTTAATGCGAAAATAATATTTGAACAAAAAATACCCCTACTTAACACACTAATATATTCAGAATAAAATATGTCAGAGGAAAATGTGTGTCATGAAATCCAGATTTAATTATTTCTATATTCCAGTTTTTTTCAGCAGTGAATAGCACAAAAATTATAGTAAAGGTAATTTTAGAAAATTGAGAGCATTCAAATCAAATTTGGTTGCTTCACCTGTTTTCTTTCTCTCGCCGGCGACGGAAGCGAAAGTTGCGACGTGACGGCAAACTCCTGTAGCGCTCAACAATCTCTGGAAAGAACTTTCCCGATGGATCGACGGAACCCTAACTTCAATGCTTCTGCATTCAAAATTGTGAAAATTAATTGGTATGGTTGGACTTGTGTCACGAGTACAGAGGTCAGAGATGATGATAGTTATGGTTTCTTATTCAAATTCAGTGCAACTCTTTTGAGTGTTTTCACATGTACTCCCTCCTTTCATTTTCTCCAGTTTAAACTTTAAACTTCAGGAGCAATTTTGGGAGTTCGAACTAATAAAAATTTAAATTCCACGAATTGTTTTCGGAGACATCTGAAACTTCAAAATAATTCATGGTATTTTAATTCAAAAAGCTTTTAAATTAGTGACTAATGTTTGATAGCAAGAAATGGCTATTTGCCCATTTTTCCGCCTATTTATATATATAATATAAGTAATGTTATTATCGATTTTCTTTTCCTAAAGTTCAAGAAAACAAAAAAAAGAAGCTTAATTTATTTGTAAAAAGGCTTAAATTACAAATAATTAAATCATAATATCCCCTCCGTTCACTTTTAGTTGTCTAATTTTGACTTTGCACTCCCTTTAAAAAAATAAATGAAAGTACGTATTTTACAATTTTACTCATAATAATGATAGCATTTTCAAAAGTCTTGAAACATGATTTGGGGAATGAGTAGTTAATAATACAGGTAAAAGAAGGAGAAAAATTATCTTTCTCTTGATTTAGTATAGTGGATAAGTAAAAGTGAAAATATATTTTTGGTATAATAAACAAGTAAAAGTAAACGAGGGAGTATATTCCAAGAACTTACGAGTTTACTAAAAACTTATGAATTGCATTTAAGTGGTTGAGATATGTTCATCCTAAATAGGTTTCAAGTTCAACCATGTATCAATTTGTTTTTTTTTAAAAAGCCTTTTGATAGAGTTATTCCCTCTTTAATGACCTTATACTATGTGAGTCTAAATTAATCGAGTTAGTAATTTCAGATGCAAGATGATTTTTTTAAGGGGGAAGTGGGGGGGGGGGGGATCTTCTCTAAACAGTGATATCACAATTATTTTGTTCCCAAATTATATTCATCTTGCTCTCTTTTTTCTTTCAAATTGAAGTCCTTAAAACATTTTAATCAGCAAATTTTGACAAAGTACCTACCAACTAGACAAATATAGCTATTAATATCCTAATAGTTAAAAATCATGATTAAGGGAGAACATGCTTATGCCAAATAGTTTACGGTCATTTGATGTTTTCTTTGTCTCTCTTTTCCCCTCGTAAGAAGAGAAGATAATCAAAATCCTACTTCGTTCATCAACTTAATAATGTTGTTTCATCAAGTAATTAATATTATAACTCATTTGAAGTTACTTTTGTAAATTATATAGTTACTACTCGAGATTGAAGACTACATATTTTTTACGGGTAAAACCGAGGCTAATGAGCACCCAGATTTCCTAGTGAGGCAAACGAAGCAAGAAAGTAACTACAAGGAATCGAAATCGAAGCTAGGAGTCTCACGTATCGAGTGTCACACCTCCTTTTTATCTACACCCCGCAAAGGGCGTAAAGGGAGTTTTTAAAGGACAATCGAAACGGGATTTATTATTTAATTCAGAGTCGTCACTTGGGAGATTTATGGTGTCCCAAGTCACCGGTTGAATCCCGAATCGAGGAAAAGATTAACTCTGTATTACAGTCCGCGAACCAGAAATCCAAACAAGGAATTCTGTTAACCCGGGAGAAGGTGTTAGGCATTCCCGAGTTCTGTGGTTCTAGCACGCTCGCTCAACTGTCACATTCGGCTTATTCATCTGACTTTAACAATTATGAGCTTATATGCAAGTTTTAACTCTTTACCGCTTTTATTATTATCATTATTATTTTAACAGAGAATTGCAACGTTGTGAAGACGTATCTCGAACCACGTCACATCAATGTACCCGTGGTTGTCGACACATTTCGACTCCGTTGGGATTTGGATTTGGGTCACATAAATGTGCACCCGAATTTGAGAAGGTAATGTTATTTAAAGTACGCGCCTAAAGAGATTAACGCGTGGTTATTTTGGGAAAAAGGCCGTGAAGTTCGCTAAGCGGCCGATCCCGAGTTCTAAGTAATTAATACATACCTTTGTGAGGGCCCCGCAATTTATGCGTTTTACTAGGCGAGGCTCATCTCGTTTATTTTTAAAGGATAATCCTAAAGTGACTACATTTTTCTAGTAAGTTCGTCTCTAAAATAAAAGAGAAAAAGTCCTAATTAGTTACATGTTTATAAGCTCGTGCCTCTTATTAGTTATTAGATTAAGACAAATGCAAACGGAAAATTGCAACCGAGCTTGCTCAAAGGGAGATTGTATCATTCCTTGTTCTATTAGTTAATAATACTTAAGTTGAGATTATGAATTGAACACGAGATTGACACACAGTAATATAAAAACAAACTAACTATTCTTTGATTAATTTAAACTAATATTATTAGATGAATGGGTTATTAGAAGAACCAAATGTAATACCAAGCCATTTTTGAACTCTTTTTACAACTGTCGAAAATACCTCAGTATTTGAAAATTGACGTTAGGCTAACATTATTCAAGAACCATTTCGTTAGCTTTGAACCTATATGATGATACCTTCAATTCATTTGAATTCAAAAAGAAAACTTGGAAAAACGGTAGCTCACATGGTCCAGATACAGTCCAGTTAGGTACATTTACACGAACCAGTCTTATTACAGAAAACTAAACATTATA